AAATAGACGTATTCCATACTGATTTTTAAAGATTGATATGGATTCTTACGGCTGTTTACACCACTTGAAAGAGACATCTTCGAATCCTTTTTAGAATTCCAGCGTTGATGTTCGTGCTCCACTTGTACAATGATAGGTATGTTTAATGTTTCTGTTTGTCAGAAAGTCAGTACGTTTATGTCCAAGAAACTCCGCAGTGGTACTAGGAGCCTAAAATGTTGACCTCGTTTATTTTATAAATACTGTTTCAAAATAAAATTATCATTTCCTGTTTCTAGGTATAGAGTTTAAGTTAGTATAGGTTTCATGCATAATTTGTGATTATTTGGCTCCACATAATTTATTACTTAGCGGATTTGATCTTTTCCAAATATACGACAACTAACCTCCAGTCACAAAAATAAGAAATTAAGAAGAAAAAAAAACCAACATGTCAACGTAATCATTATCCAGCCTCAAAGTCCATAAAACTAGAGAAAATATGAACTAAAGAAAGATTTACACGAAGACCCATGGAAAAGTACAAGGAGAATAAGACCAGGTGTTCCGGAAGAGCAGGCGTCCTCTGCTTCATCGATGACACCCGCCATGTAAATCTTGGTTAATCCAAGCAAGTAATGGCAAACTAACGATCATCAAATACGTCGAGTTCATATCACTCAAGTAACTGATACCCATAAGATACATTGAGATGATTTGTGGGGCATCACATTGATGTTGTTAAGTAAGCTTTATCTATAACAAAAGCTGGTGTATGTTGGGTTATATTCGCCAGCTATGGCCTGCCTTTCTGTTGGTTTGACCCTATATAATACTTCCTTGTTGAATAATCAGTCTGCATTAACTTCATTTCTGAAAACTTGGGCCAGATTTATTGGTATGTAATAAACCATGTATTGTTGTCAATATACATCAAACACGTTTTTGATCTTATATCTAATAGCGGTGTTATCCAACTCTGAAGTGGCCATTTCGAACATCCTTTTCAATCGTCAGGATGATAGATAAAGATGATTGATATGACATGTGGTATAAAAACTAAGCCCTATACTAAGTATGGGAAATCCTACATTAAAAGGTCGTTAACACGCCGATAGTAGCGTCTCAAACTACTAGGCTTTAGTGAAAAATACACTAAATGATACAATGATGACGAAAAACTAATATAAATTAATTATAAAATAAAAAATGGGAAAATGAAAATATGTCTTTCGATGTTGATGTCACAAACATATTTTCCATATCATGACATCAAGTCTGATTATATTTCTAACACGTATTGTACACTTGTGTGCGCCTGTGATTTGTGTAAATTGTAAATGGATATGGACATATAGAAAATACCAACATCTTACTATATTCATAATTCAAACTCAAGTTCCATAAAACTAGGTCAAAACATTTACAAGGAAACTCATGAAAAATTCAAATGAGAACAAGTCCAGGTGTTCCGGAAGAGTAAGTGTCTTCTGCGTCATTGACGCCATTCGCCATGTAAATCTTGGTCAATCTAAGTAAGTAATGTCACGTTCTCAAATGAGAACAAAGTATACAAAAAACAGAACTAACAGGCAAATTTACGAGCATCAAGTCAAGTCAAGACAAATCATTTTAAACATACACAGCTTTTCAACAAATAAATTCTTTCTGTGGGCAAAATTAAGGATCTATTTCTTTATATATTTTTCTATATTTTACTGGACGATCACTGATTGGTCAGTTTTAGAATCATTGAGATATGCAGACAAAGAAACAAAAATATACATAATTGAGATAGTAATTGGCGGAGAAAAGTTTTCACTTTAAGTCCCTCTGTGTGTTAACATCGATTTAGATGTTTATAACCTGTATAAGTGACCAGATGTACGATAGGCAGTAGGTAAGTTGTGTGTACCATTGATCTGACTGTATATCGGCTACAGTATAGATCGATACATACAATGAATGTTCACTAATGAACTTTAACAAACATGTAGGTCTGTGACCTCTCTCTTACATATGTCGATGATCAAGATATATGTACGTTAAAGAAATGTTTTGTTTAATGTCGATATAAACACTAGCTTTATTATTTCCCTCTTATATATTTTATGTTCAATATCAACTTTTTCTGAAGATTGTAAACTTGCTTTGCATACATTTTTTTTCGTTTTTTGTTTCAAATTTCGATTGAAAATTTCACTAAACCATTTATCTTGTTTCGAATTTTATGATAAATATACACATTTCCTCAATAACACTTGAACGCTTTTTATTCTTATGAATTTGATGACGAATACACATGAATATGCTCTTCCTCAAGATGTAACTTTTCTCATTTGTGACTATCAGAGAGAACAATATAACGAAAATAAAATTAATAGGGAAAAACAATCTTTTGTTACTTTCACTTAATTGAAATAAAACATGATGTCATTATCATTTTTGACACAACTGTAACAAATTCGGACCATAAAACTGATTGATTGATTTATTGACAGGTTTTCCGTCTCCGTGACTCGTCCCGTGTCCGGGTTTCGCCTCACTGACGAACGTCTCCGTGACTCGTCCCGTGTCCGGGTATCGTCTCACTGACGAACGTCTCCGTGACTCGTCCCGTGTCCGGGTATCGTCTCACTGACGAACGTCTCCGTGACTCGTCCCGTGTCCGGGTATCGCCTTACTGACGAACGTCTCAATGACTCGTCCCGTGTCCGGGTATCGCTTCACTGACGAACGTCTCCGTGACTCGTCCCGTGTCCGGGTATCGTCTCACCGACGAACGTCACCATGACTCGTCTCGTGTCCGTGTATCGTCTCACCGACAAACATCAGTGTTCTGGCGACGTGATACGTATTTATGAAACAGAAAACATTCCGTTAGGTACACTGGTACCTAACTAAACACCACCAAGTGTCGGGTATTTAAGCACCGTATAAAAATATAATGTTTGTTGTAAACCCGAAACCATGCTGTAATCCGATTTTATGGTGACAAGTACTGATCTGTTTAATACATCGACTATATGTATGGTTCCCTTAATTTGTTATCAAATGATAACAAAAATATATAATCATGTGAGTTCCTAGCCTCCTTAAATATTGCAATATAACGTATTAATTGTGCGCATAAACATTGATATTCTGATACAAATCTTTATTTAGCCAAAACTGCTAATATCATATCTATTAAAGAATTTAAGAATACAATTTCATGCAGCTAAGCTGACAAACAGACGCAATTGTTATTCATAGTGTAAAACTATAGACTTTCACGAACAATTTAAGAAAATATATTTTGAAAAATATAAAACAGGTAGAATGCGTTCCGGCAGTTGTTTCCTATTTTATGTAATTCTGTACATCAGTAATTGTATACCTATTGAAAGGATGAAAACCTCCGGACACGAACCAGATATATCTCCTCTATAAATAAATGCATCCTGTTTGTACATTGTGTATCAGTAATCCCTGAGAGCGAATTCATACCACTGTCACATATTTTAAACTTTTTATGCATGAAATAAACAGAACGAAATAAAGAAGCATTGTCAGCTTTAAAACACGGACTGCTGGTAACAGAACTTTTGCAGTTTACAACAGGCAAGCATTCGCCTCATCTGATTCATTTTTAATACAGTGTCAATGACAATGGGCGGGTAAAACCAGCAGTGTCTATCAGTTCAGGAAACGGTATTGTTACACTATTGGTTTTTGCAGAATCGAATGTCATTTTATTTACTCTGATTTTATCGGAATAAATAATCTATTTTCCGCTTTTGCATTGGTTCAATTTTGATTGATGTGATTTTAATTTAATGAAACAAAATCATGCAAATTTGAGAAATTCTAATTTTATTCGATATAGACATACATATATATTCATATATCATTTCCTGTTTTCCATTCTTTTGATTCAAAATGTTGACTATAAAACGAACCATCGTATGATGAAACTATTGATTTAATCAGTTATCAAACCTACAGCGATCTATGCAATAATATTGAGAAGAAATGACATACTCTTTGTATTAAGCTGAAAATGCTTTTCAGCTTCCATGACTTTGCACATAGGGATTACATGCGTTATGACCAGAATATGTTGAGAATTGTGCGCTTTACTAGGCATTATTATCGTCTTTGAAGGACATTTATATTTAACAAATTATTGGATCTAGATATCCACAATTTTGGTTTAAAAATCAGTATTAGGTAACAAATATATTACATATTTTAAGGTAGCGTTGTACAAAAAGACAATATGCAGGGCCATTGCAATACAGTGTCACAGCATGTTTCATTTAGGTAACGCAACTTAGCACTACTGAGTTAGGGACCTAACGGTAAAGCTCTATGCTACGATAGAAAATCTATGAGCCGAGATGTTATATAGGAGCAAAGAGTTAAGATAAGTGAAAAATTATTCTTCATCGAGATTTCATGCTACGTTATAAAATTGAAAAAAACTTAGATACTGCAAATAATTCCAGTTATATTGCAAATGATTTAATTAATTTGTCTAGATTATTTCCATATTCGTTCACGTGTTAATTATGAATAAGATTTTGAATTAAGACATATCAAATGCATGGCATTAAATTAATCTTTGTTTTAAAGATTTATTAATGAAATACGGGTTCACATTCATATACACAGTGACTGGTCTTATGTCGCTTTTCACCGCATGTTTTTTTTTACTTATCAACAAAATTTAGCCTCACATGTGTTCCTTAGTTTGATAAATCTATCTGACAGTGGATAGCAAAGCTTTAACGTTAGAACCGATCAACAGATTAATACATGGGATCAATGGGATTAATTCCCGAGTACGTTTCCGTTAGTTATATTGAATAAGCGAAATTCAAAATGGTGGTTAAGTCTGTGTGACAATATTGTGTTCTAAATAATTATGGATTGAAGATGGAATTCTGTATATCGTGATTGTACAACTGCAATATAAGTAATTATTTATCTAACTGAAAAAACAAATTGTTGTGAGGATTTGAATTTCACTGTCGGACATGGTTAAGATAAAACACGTAAGTATTTAACATATATATTGTAGGTAACGTACCTACTGGTAGGTATTCATGAGAAAGATTACAGCGTTAGACACCGGTATTTACCACGCAATGTAGTTAAATAAAGACATCAAGCTTTCCGTTATGGTCAAATTTCCTCCCAAATTTTCGATATGGTATAACAAGATATTTCGTCATGTTCAAATTTCTTCCTTTGGTGATAAAATCGAGATATCCAATTTTAGCCATGGCATATTTTCGTCATTACTGACCGAGAACCAATATATGTCTTCCCCTTCAATTTGGATTTAGCAGATCAGTATTCGTCATGTAATGTTATGGTAAAAATATCGAAAATTGGACACCAGTAATATACCGCTATGTAATGTTTTGTAATTATGCTATGACACAAAGTGTATTAACATTTCTACAAATATTCCTTTATTTTAATTATTTTAATGAAAGATCTAATGAAATATTCGTCTCTGACCGATAATAGAATGAAAAAATCTAACTCAAGTTATTCTCAGTTATTCTTTGTCTAACACCATCATCATCGTCGTGTATTAATGTAAAATATGCATGTGTAGGACAATGTACAACATGACCTCAGTATACAGATATGGGTATCTCATCAAAGTAGCGAAAATTTTCAGGGTGGTTGACATCCTGACTCGCCAGGAAACGGCAGTGGTCCCCATGACACGAAGTCATCATATTCTACAGTTGTTTCTATATACTATTACTTTTGTTCATTGTTTGCTCTTATGTCACCGATTCTGTATTTGAGGATTTTTGTGATATGTCGGTATTTTCTAGGTATTCTTGTATAAAATGTGTATCTAACATTGCTTCTGACCAAGAACTTCCAGCAGTTCAGTCAGAATTAAAGATTCAAATGGTTTAGGATAATAAACCAAATACTGCAAAAACTTTAATTTTCGTGGGGTTAAAATTTGCATTGGTTTCGTGGTTTTTCCTTTATTTTGCAATCATATGTCCATGAGTTATTGAAATAATCAAAATATACGTTTTATTCTTAGGGATTCCCTGCGTCTAATTTATCAATAAAGTTATAACGCCTCAAAATAAAGTATTTGTAATTGGAATTCCACAAAAATATGACTCTGCAGTAACATGAATTTCCTCATCCATGCTGTATAGGAGAGTACGGTTATGCAGAGTCGGCATACTCTTCCAGTAATGAATGAACACGTTATTTTAATGACTAGAATACAACAGTGTCGTAGGAGTGACCTTAGACCCGAAATTCCATATAATATTTAGTTTTATTTTTTTTAATCTCTACTTGACTAAGAATATTTTACTGCTGTTGCAGCTCATCAGTAATATCATGCCAACCAACTACAGAGGTCAGAAATATTCCTCAATCCGGAGTAGTCATGTTAAAGCCGGAACACTTTTTGAGGATCCCGAATTCAAGATCAACAACAAGTCTCTCTTCTTCAGTAAGATTGATCAGGACATTGAATGGAAAAGGCCAAGGGTAAGTCTTACAAAGGTCTTGAGAATATCTTTTTTTTGAAACGATATCACAGATTAAATGGAAATCAGGAGTGTATAAAAGGAAATTCTGAACCTGATTCATACGTGTAAAATATTAACAAGTAGGTACTTTTCCAGTTTAACATATATATCTTACTATTTGTGTGTGTTTCAGGAGCTGTGTAAGGTACCTAAACTAGTAGTCGAGGGAGTCAGTTGTGATGATCTTAACCAAGGGGAGCTGGGAAATGCCTGGTTCGTCACTGCATGTGCCAGCCTTGCCCTGGAAAAGAAACTCTTCGAAAGGGTAAAAACTCTATATACGTCAAGTATCCTAAAAATATCATATATTTCTTATTTCATCTGCTTATGATTTCGTTGATGAATTATACTCAGGCATTACTTACTTATCTTAAGGTTAAACAGTGTTCAATGTTTAACATTATCTTCTAAATCCTTGAAAGTAAACATAAAATATGAACTTGTAGTGTATGACAATTTCGATACCCTATTCAACCTGATCATTATATCAATCGTGAATGTGTCTCGTAAAAGCTCTGGAAACCTACTCAGGATTGTACAAAAGACAGACCAGTGAATATGACCTATTTCCAGGTACCATTCTAGTGACAGACTAATGAATCCAAACCATAATCCCATTTCCATTTGTGTTCCCGATAAATCGATGGAATTTATTGATTTCGAGGCAAATCAATATGTCCTGTGATGAATTCTATTAACCTTCTATTAACATATGTCAGGTCGTTAATTCTATATGACTTTGTATAGGGCTGTGCAGTCCTGTTCAAGGATATGAAAGGGGAGATTATCTATAGCAGTCCATCAATTATATTATACAAGTTGTATAAAGCCTGATACACTCGTTTGTTGTACCTGTGTAAATATCGTTCACTGTCTCACAAAACACATTTTGTGAAGATGACATGTTCGTAAAGATATTCATACTGGCATCGTATACTATTTAATTGCAATGTATACCTGTTGACCTTTTGAAACTGACCCGAAACGTCCACAAAATAAGGTTTTTACACATTTTAACAGATATAACATAGTTATCTCCCTTATGCTTTTAAATGAATAATGTCATCAGTCCTTTATCTTAAGATTAACGTAGGTATATCTGTCATTGTGTTATTTATTCGAAATTTCTGACAATTACATTTGAGATTGCGATTTGTTATAAAAGCTTTCTTCTGGAAATCCTGGCTTTTATCCTCTTTCCATATCACTTTCTGTGGTTTCTGTTTAAAATACGAAGTTTGTGTCTATTGGTAATTTTTGTTATTCGTTAAACTTCATGTCTCAGCTATTTTAACTTAGTACCTTGATATAACTCTGAGTAGCTTTATATAAGATATAACCTCTCATGTTACATAGGACATTGTTATCTACTATCATGAATTGTACGTGTTGATTCTTGAAGAAATATCCTAGCAAGATACACGTTTTAAAGGTCTATGTCTCATCTCCCCTGTCGTCTATATTTCGCCCTCTTTCATTGATTTCATGTTTTGAATCACAGGTTTGTCATCCAGCCAATTCTCTCTTGAAGGTTAAATATTTATGTATGCCCTTGGTGGCTTTATTTAATTAAACATTAATGGAAACTGAAACAACACAATATATGCGAATTTCAAGTTCCCAATATAAAAGGCACAGCTGTTAGATGTATGTTCCTGTTTGTAAACCATCAGAGCAGACGTGAAATATTTTACAAATATCGCCATGTCAATACAGTCACCACATCTGTATAATTATTTAGAGATACTACAGTACAGCTGACATCAATACTTATCAAGAATCCAGCAGGATTCAGGCGAGTTCAGCATTCCATGTGGTCAAAGTATTCTGGGATTTGAAGGTTAAATATAGCTGCTTGATTTGCATGTTATCTAGTCAGCCTGTCAACGTTAATGGTATTAGGATTCCCATTATTAGTTATGTGAATAGGCAGATAACGAATACCAATGCTCAAATAAATTCTAGTTGCAGAAATGGTGGATATTTATGTTTATACGTGCACTTTTTCTAAGGGGTTAGATTCCTTTTTTAATTGGTTGATTCTTTTTTTTCTCTCAATTAGTCCATATTTCTACTACTCTTTTAAAACACCAATTATTCAAATAAGGTTCTTTTTATCTCTCTTTCGCTAATTAATTCAAATCAGAAATGAGTCATCAAATGTGACAATTTTTAAAATGGTCATTTTTCCAATATCAGATATGCATGTTTGGACTTCCATAGCCGAAAAATTGCAAGAAAACGTGGCCATTCATATTCCATTTCTATTCATGTTGCAGATGGTAACAAATTTGATGGGTTTTTTCATCAAATTTTGAAGAATGTTAGACATGTAAAAATGTATATCAAGAATCCATACCATTTTATGAAAAAAAGAAGTTTCTTTCGAGAAGCGTCACAAGTTACGATGTAACAAATTCACCCTACTTCTAGGGCACGTAGGTTAATAGTTAACGCAATATATTTTACAAACATGTCTTAACCGAAATACTAAGCGGACCAAAACCGATGACGACACGATATAGCATTGATAAATTTTTAACGGTTTTCGCCCCACGATACTTTTTTCCAATATCCTACAGCTAGGCCAATCTGACGTGTATATTCTATAATCACTAATAACGGCGACGAAACATGTTGTTTGACACAGTGTCTCGACCAGAAGTCATAACCGTGTCACCATTAGCACACGTGCACTGACAAGCCTGATTCAAATGTCTGTAATTTACATCTTTATTACTAAATCTTCCATTTCACTGTGGGCTGTAAGGTATCACTACAGTATGGGCATTCCTTTAAGTTAATGAATTTATCATAGAGAGCGTATGTCCAGTGTACTTAAACCCTTGTGATGAAATCTGGGGGCAACCGAGAATTTTTAAATGTCAAACCATTTTTAAATATGATTTAGAAAAGCAATCGTCTATTTAGAAACATGGATGGTTTTCGTGTTTTCTATGTTCTTTTTTAATATTTCATCACCACTTAGTCAGGTGTCAGAAGAGTGGACCTGTGTTAATGGAGCTTTTCTTATGACTTTTTCTGTTAACTTTCATTTTCAGATTTTCCTTATTTATCTATGCTATAGTGCCTATTGCTTCGTGGTCTTATAATTTTCTTGAATGTTTAACTACAGAGTCAAAAACAAAAGTGCGCCATGACATATCTTTACGAAAAGGATTCGGAAACTGAGGAAAGCAAATTAGTAGTTCAATGCATAATGATCCATAATACAGAGATACTTTCTTACACCTGTTGTTCTTAGTGTCATTATGTTATAATGTCCTTCTGTGATGCCTTAACTGTTAATCAACTTCAGTTTCTTCACACCATACAAAGCATGGATTATACCAATGTTTTAGTTTATTTCTTACTGGACAGTTTTTCTTTGGTCAATAGGTGGTACCTAATGTGAAGGAACAGGATTGGAATGAGAGAGAGGAGAAGAACACATACGGAGGCGTATTCCATTTTGTGTTATGGCGGTATGGTGAATGGATTGATGTGGTAGTGGATGATAGACTTCCCACGAAAAACGGCAAACTGGTGTTCTGTCATTCCAAATCCCGTAACGAATTCTGGTCTGCACTCCTGGAAAAGGCGTACGCTAAGTATGTTGAGAATTGTGATAACAAACGAGAAAAAATCCTATCTGTGTCGAAGGATGGTTAAAGTGAAAGAATTCTAAAAATAGAAATTTAGAATTTGAAACATCATGGTCAGAAATGATCAACATTTCCTCATATAACTTTGTCGTCCTTTTAGAATTTGTCAGTGAAGCCTCGGGCCTTGGAACCGAATATAAAATTCTTAATTGATCGAAGTAAATGTTAAAATCTATATTGAAATGAATTTAGAAATCATCTCTTCTTGGTATATTCACAAATTCTTAATAAATTATTGGCTTAAACTGTCTTTTTATTCTGGATGTATTACATACCCGGCAATGGGTAAATAAGTCATACATTAAAGAACCACAGAGTGTGCATTCCATATTGTATTTTACTATTAGCACGTAAAAAAGGATCAAACACAATTACACCATTATACCTACTGTGGTGTTCTAAGGTTTTTGATAGAGAACAAATGCATTTGTGAATTCTGTTACGTAACTTGTATCATTAAGGTAGCCCTCAGGAACTACATAAACCATCAGGTAATCGTAACACAAAGCATTGTACAAAAGACACACAAGTGATATCACACAGTTGTGTTCCATCCTTTGTAACCGTTTTAATATTTGTAAATTTACCAAAACAAAAAAACATAATAATTGTTTCAACTATAGAAAAAGCTCATCAATTCACCAATCACTTTTATTTCCATGTTTTTTTTTCAGACTATATGGGGACTACGAGTCCTTGAACACCGGTCGGACGGGTGACGCTCTGGTAGACTTTACTGGCGGGGTGGCAGAGAAGCTTGTAATGTCTAGAATCAACATCAATGACAAGAACGTAAAGAAACAGTTGTTCCTCAAGCTGAAAGATGCATCTGATAACAAGGCACTTATGAACTGCAATATACAAGTAAGATCTGGATCATTCCTCAAATCACTATCAAATGCTGGTTTATAAATTGAATATTATCTGACTCACATCTGTGTGTATCCCTAACTTTTATCCATAACATCACCAGACGTTTCTGTAATACATGTTGTATGATACACTATACGAATCAGTACAGAAGATCATGGTATACTGTTAAGGCCGTTAATTTGGATGCTAACAAAAACATGAAAAGGGATTTTTCAGGTAGTCATGAACATGACTATGATTTTTTCAGCTCATTTCTTTTTCAAGAAATATATGTTTCCTGATTCCATTGAAAATTGAAAAAGAAAAATAAACCACACATTCAAACAAACAAACAAAACAGAATAACGACACTTATTTGAAATTTGCATCTTTACAGATTATTTTTTATTAGACCTATTTGGCTTCGTTTGACTTACATTAAACAGCTAGACTTCTTTTGTCTCACTCCATTAGAATCATAGTGTAACATTAGACTCGCTGGTTTATTGTTTGCAGTATGTCTTGTTTTTGACCATATCTTCAATGACAGAATAAATGGTCTGATATAACTGATTTCGAAATTTCCATCCTATCGATTCATTCAGTGTCAGAGGACAGAAGTTGGTAAGGATACACCTCAGGGCCTGGTTCTAGGTCACGGCTATAACATAACAAAGGTAGCCGAGATAATTGTAGACAAGAAACTTCAGGGCGCTGTAGGGAGTCCTGTCCTCAATATGGTACGCATGGCCAACCCCTGGGGAACCAAGGAGTGGACTGGAGCATGGTCAGACGAGTAAGTCATGTGATTTGTTGCCTATTTATCTATCAATATCAAAAACATTTTAACTTTACCCAATTATTATTGAATAATATTAACTTCCTGGCATTAACAAAAAAAATTGTTTTGATGTAACCCTAAACTATAGAGGTAGCTCCTAAATTTTATATAGTAATATTTCAAAGTTGGTTATTTTCTTAACTCAATCAATTATGAGTAAGTGAAGCTTCACTCAATAATCTTTAAGTTTCTAATAGCAAAGCGTATACAACATTTAGATTATCCGATATCAAGAGAAATGTCAGGTAAATTTGTTCATATTTCTTTCTCAACTATGCTGTCTTTAATGTTCTCACAATTAATTATACGTTTCAGTGCTCCGGAATGGAACAAAATCAGTCGATCAGAATGGCACAAGATTGGTCTGAGGTTTGAACAGGAAGGGGAATTTTGGTAAATGTTGTTAAATTGTGTCTAATTAGTTAACATTTTACATGGAATAACTGAGGTTTGATAGTGCCTCACGCTGAAATGTCGTAACCCGGTTGTATCATATTGAATCATCAGTCCCTGAACTTTCAATTCAGCACTACGTAGGGGATTAAATCAAACCACTGCATTAGTATGAATGAGAAAAACTTATTTTCCAGTCTTCAAAATGTCATTTACATAGTAGAAAATCTGAAAGTCTTAATCATATTTCCCTAAAACTTAAATGTAGTCATATCTGCATTGTTTAAACTTCTAGCGGTCGGTTACGATGAGAACTTTACCAATGAACAATTAATATGATTTTGTGCCATAATAAAAAAGGGATATCCGGATAGGTATCAGAAGATAAAACTTCAGTTTTATTGATCAAGTGAGGTTATTCAGGTTAGCATATTAACACGAAGACATCCGAGCGTTTGAATTGATGTTAAAATGACTAAAGCTTCTTCAAGATTATTGTATTTCAAGAAGTCTGACAGGCCGTACATTCAGAGCAGATTATTATATTTTAGAACAGAAGTTTCACAAAAAAATCAAGCTGTCCAACCTTTTTAAAGATTAGATATTGATTATGTAATTTCCATTGAAGAACGATCTTCAGATATTTGGTTGAATTATAGTTTGAACTAATGTTTTTGTCAGTTAAACAAAAAACATATTTCGGGGATAAACCATACTCAAGGAATCGTTGCGACTAAAGATGTATCTTTGTTTACAAACAGTTTAATGACGTATGGTAAAAAAGTTCGTGAAGTAACATCGATCACTGAATCAACAAAATAAGAGGTCACAAATACGAAAGGACAAATAGTATTAAAATCTAGAGATATTTGCCTTGTTCTATTTCAGGATGAACTTTGATGACTTCGTGGTAAATTTTACAAATGTCGACATATGTCATTTTGTAAACACCGCTATATTCAGCATAAAAAAATCCTGGAATGAATGTGTGTTTCATGGAGAATGGACAGTGTCCGGAAGGAATGGAGGAAATGATTACAACAGTCCGACTTTCCTTAGTAACCCACAGGTAATATTATACACGTCCTTAGTAACCCACAGGTAGCACTACATGCACGTCCGTAGTAACCCACAGGTGACACCATAGTTATATACACCACTTTAGTACCCCACAGGTAACATCCTAGTTACATACCCTATGTGACCCACTTGTCTGTTGTAACCCACAGGTAACACCATAGTTACATCCCTTAATGGTCCACTTGTCTATAGTAACCCACAGGTAACATCATAGTTACATACCCTTAGTGACACACTTGTCTTTAGTAACCCACAGGTAACACCATAGTCACATACAAGCCCTTTGTGACCCACTCGTCCTTAGTAACCCAAAGGCAACACCCTAATTATGTATCATTTATCATATAACTCTTTCAAATAGTATAATGCGACGAAGTGACATTAGTATATCACGAATGCAACATAAGTAGAAATTGTTATAGTATTTTCTTGTTGTCGTTTAAACATAGTGTATCATATGCGTAAAGGGAGGTAAATCAATATCTACACTGTGTATATATGCATTCTCACGATATATTGTGTAGTATCAAACAGCACTACAAACCCTCAATACAACAGTTATTAATGTTAAAATAATTATTTAACTTACTTATGTGAAGTATTAGATGCATGCTTAATATATGTGTACTTAATTAATGTTTAAGATGTTAACGATGCGTGTTTGATAATTTACCTTGTTAGCAGTGTGCGTTTGTTGTTTACAATGTTTAAAGTATGTATATGGTCATTGTCTTGATCACATGGCGTATGTGATGTTTTACCTTTTCTCAATCAGCATTGGATTAATGACCTTGCCACAGTGTGCATGTCATGTTTACCCTGTTCACTGTACGTACTTATCTGGTGTTTACCTTGTTCTCAGTACGTATCTGGTGTTTACCTTGTTCTCAGTACTTATCTGGTGTTTACCTTGTTCTCAGTACCTATCTGGTGTTTACCTTGTTCACAGTACTTATCTAGTGTTTACCTTGTTCACAGTACTTATCTAGTGTTTACCTTGTTCACAGTACTTATCTAGTGTTTACCTTGTTCACAGTACGCATTTGATGTCGCTGGGATGAGCGACAATGTGATGTTCTCACTAGAACAACAGGACATCGTCCATGGACAAGAGTTCGGCCGCAAGCTCAACAAAATCGGCTTCCAGATAATGAAAGTAAGTTCAAATTTATTCTGATTCAGATAAATGGTTTTCAATAGACACTGAAGCACTACAATGTTTATCAATGACATCATACTTGGATTTTAAAATTGATGGAAATGTTTGCACCACCCTATCTATATTTTGACATTTATATTAATTCTTAATTTGAATTGCAAAGTGCATTCTCTACAATGGCAAGTAGTAGACATTTCTGGTGGACAGTTGGTCCTCGAGGTTTGCAGTATCATCACAATTTAATTCATGTTAATAGTGGAACGGTACAGAAAAAATTATATTCTTTGGAAAGTATTTAGTATTGAAATTATGAAGTTGATTGAATGGTAGTTTTAAAACTCCATATTTATTTCGACTAGTTTGAATATTCTGCAATTGCCTTCTCGGTTTCAACAAACTAGGCCAATAGAGAAATTCATAAATAGAAGGACGAAACAGCTGTATGTTACACTTTACTTCATTGTTTAGCTCTGCTTTGTCTAACTCTAAATTTGTGTTAAATTTCCTTATGTGTCTTTTGGTTTCCCGGAATGCTTCATTGTAGAACATCATTTTTAAACCATTGTTACTGAAATAAATTCTAATTTTAAATCGCTCAAAATCTGGATGATTTTTTAATTTTATCTGATTTGAGCAATAATAAATATTAATTTTTTAAATAAATAACAATTTAACTGAATTCAACTCACACATGCTGATATGAAAATTGCTTCCGTTCACGTAGGCTTTGAGGATATGATTAAAGATTCTCCGTTGTTACAATTACAGGTAGAGGAGAATAGAAAATACCGGGTACATATCCAGGGAGAAGCGGTGTACTGTTCGGAATACATCGCTGATCGTAGTATATACGGCATAGTGAAGCTAATGAAAGGTCGATACGTTGTTTTACCTACTACAACGGAATCGACAGAGTTAGGTCCCTTTATGCTGCGGATGTACTCGGGCAGCAAGGCGTCTGGAAGGTGAGTTATTTCCCTTGGTAATGTAGAGGAATACTTTCTTAAAATAAAAAATAAAAATTAATATTATTTCGGAAAGACGTTTTCATTGCTAGAAATGACGAATATATTGTAATATTTTGTAGAAAATGATTTCATTTTGAAACTTTAAGTCAAAATTTGCATTGTTATATTGATGAATACATATTAACCTTTTGAATAAAGACACTTTAAAGTGTTAACATATATTTAGAGATTATTTTCCACTATTTTCAAGGACGGTAGAATTGGGGAAAAATACATTCAAATCTTAATTGATAGAGAAAGATGTAGTCTCGTTTCATGAATCAAATGAAAGACATTTTAAAGTTATCGTGACTAGCATTAAAATACAATTAATTAGGGGTAATGTGATCAATATTAAAATCAATAATGTAGATATACAGTTAACTCTTTACTGGCTGCAACATGTCAGGTGGTGATACTTATCAAAACTATTTATGTACCACTTGGTACTCGTAACATTTATTATTTTTTTGTAAATATGATATTCGAAGGCAAAATAAGTCTTTTCCAGAAGACAAATCTCAAATCTATTTAGAAATCTACAGCATAATAATGTTTGATTATTAATTTATCGGCTTGTTCTCAAAGTTCTTATATGTGGCATAGTATGCAATTAACAATATCTTTTCATTATGCACACGCGTGTAGTGGAAAGTTTTCGTCCCCTGTGTAAGTATGCTAGCATATCCTCGGCGTCGCATGAATCTGTTGTTGCATGTTGTTAAACCTTGTGGTGGATATGTGATGCTGGTATACCATGTGTGGTTTAATGAATGCCTGACGTCATTAAAGAAGGTTTAATTTATGTTTCATGAAGTAATTATGAAAATATCATGATAAGTTACGTATTTACAATAGACAATGAATGACTGAAGTCCATGGAAACATGGTGTTCTCTGTTCAGAACCCGGATCAGATGTCATTACCGCCAATACAACAAGCTTGCAAATATTTTATATTAATTGTTGTTTATTATTGTGAATTTTTTTCATGACTTTCATCTGTTTTCTTTATTCGGTCGATTTTTTTCCTAACATGAATTGCACAATTACGTACATGAAGCAATGTCAATACGTATTCTAACATGAAGTTGTTGATAGCAAGAAAATTATGTACATGACATATCTTGTCCACAAATGTCGAAATATTATCAATGATTTGTAGGTAATTCTAAAACCTATATATTTAACAATATTAAGTGAATTCGTATTTAATTATTGTTCAGTGTTTTTCACTTACATTAATTTTGACTGTATACGGGGGCCGCGATAGGTCAGTTTGTAGACCTTACTAAACCTCGTGTTAAGTAGGTGGTGCATTGTTCGACGCTGCCTTCCAGAGGCGGTTTGTATTTCTCAGGAAGCTGAGGAACGAACCACTCTGTGTTAACGTGGTTATATCTTAAGCAAATACAATTTACTCTAATTGCTTTCGATGTCATGCGATGACGTTGTGCATTCGTGGACGACAATGAATTATTAGATACACTTTTGAGATATATTTGTTATTACTGAGGACACTATAAAATATCCTCTATATAACAGGCCTTCTGTAATTAATACATCATGGCACATAAAGAATCGATTTTAAAAATTAAAAAAAAAACATCCTTTAAAAATATTAATATTTCAAACTTTTTAATTTGAATTTTTTTTCAATGTTTCGTTTTACATTTTAATTGCGTGCAAATTGATATTCACATGAATGTGCATTCTGTACATTTTTAATAAAACTCGCTTTGTTGCTCTGTGACGTATGACTATATACTTTATACAAGTTACAAGAATACTATGAGAAGTAATTCCTGAAAATTGTATTATTGATACACAGAATATTGTCAGTTTAGTTTATTACGTACAATTAGCAGTCGCATATCAGTCATCACAGCAACAAAACTGGGTTTCTTTTCTCTGACACAGGGAAATGGAAAAAGAGTGCCCCTCCACTACATGTCCGTGCACGGCTAAGCATAAGATTGTTACCACAATACACGTGACTGGTGCGGAGGGATTGGAGCTACCAACAGGGTCAAAGGTTAAAAGTAAGTTTCTTCACTGTGATAACAGACATTAATTATTTTCACAATCAGTTTCTATGTTACTATAGGTTAATAGCTAAGGATATGGATTTGCTTTCAGCAATACAAAGAGAGAGTATTAGGTTCTCTTTGTTGTCGATATCAACAATGTAACTCTACTAAAAGCGATGTAGACTGACAATAACTATATTAATAAGACCTTTTGATGTTAGTAAATTGTCTTTATTTCAGCTATCGACGCTTACGTCGTGATCAGATGTGAAGGTGAAAAGGTGACGTCACAAACCTGTCCAAATTCGTCTCAACCTAAATGGGAGGTCAAGGCCACCTTTTATAGGAAAAAACCCGACGAACCTGTTGTGGTTGAGGTAATTATCTTCCACGCTTGACGTCACAAGCAAATGAAACAGCGTTTATGTAGTTTTATATAATAGTGACCCCTTAGGTTTTCGAGTTGGTGGTAAGACCTGGTTCATTTGGTACGTTATTGGAAAATTCACATAAAAATTCCTCGTTTACAGTGCAAGTGTTACGATGTAAAACATGTGACATTTCTTCTCAGAGTTAAATCATCTCATGATATATAAATCCTATATTTCAACATTATCATCAAATTCTAGCTTATATATTATATTCGTCTTCCTTAATGAAGCAACGAAATAAGTATGTAATACTGCAAAATTCAACCTATTGTTTGTGTTTGTAGGTATGGAATGACAACGTACTGATAGATGACTGTTTGGGAGAGGCCCACGTGTCTGAGGAGGGATCTGAACAAGGGGACATAACTACAGTTGACATCATGGGCAGAAAGAAGGAAAAGGATATTAAGAAAGGCAAACTTCATATATTTCTCCGCTCTAGTCACGATTTACAGTATCTGTGATGACCACATATTTATGAAGTATTTCTGTCCTACCTTTGTAGTGATAACTATTTTTTTTTAGAAACAGTATTACACCCATGAAGTGATCCATTGGGTATTAGACAATTTAGTCATTAAATCCGTTCTGACTTGAAACAATTATGATGCATGTCGTAAATTAATTTACAGCTTAAGAATCTTATAATTTCAAAAGAACAATACGTTAGAAAATTAGTTTAATGCTTAAAAGGACCGTGAACACGTGATTATCGTGTTCGCATTGACGTGACATTAACATTTTAATTGTATCCGAAAATGATCACAAGACTTGTGAAATTATTAGGATGATTAAATGTTTAAAAGATTACAGAAAGAGGTATGTTATTTAATCCGTCCGTCCATTTTTTGGAAAATGTCGAGTATTTCAATTTAAGCAGGAAACGTTATGTAGTATGACATGGTTCTCTTTTCTCTCCAAACATCCCAACAATGATAATTTATCATCTTTCTCGTCAAAAGTGCTAATATCATTTCAGTTCTAAAATAGTAGTAAGCCAAATATCATTATCATTGATATTGTGTGTTTATTGGATTTCAGAACAGCAATAAAGATTGTATTTATCATATTTTTTTAAGTATCTGAATTAACTGTTCTATATATATATATATATATATATTTATTTTTTTAATTTGCTGAACTATGCTTAGCTGTTTCTTTTACATAACTGATTCATATTCCGTCCACTTTCTACTTGAAACATGTTGCAATTAACGAACTACATGTATTCATAGAACTATTTACATTATATTTTCACTGCACTGGTATTTTGCATAAATTTTATTTCATAATCCGTCCATATACTAGGTATACGATCTTTTTACATTTCATATTTCAGTACTTGACGAAATGTGGTATATATGTGTATATGTATTTACATTACCATGTCGATTATCCGTGATTGATCTCTCTATAAGCTGTTTCTGTGATATTTGTGGTATTTTCAGTTTGTAGGTACCATCGTACATCTGACGTCACATTTCTGTGTGTTGTTTCTATAGAATATAACTTTGATGTACGCGTCGTCTGTGTGTCTGTTGATCCTGTACATATGCTTTTATGCAAATATGTTATTAGATAAGTATATTTTAAGACTATATAGTTATAAATTAAGAATACATTGTTAAAAGTTAACAATACATGGTTATCAGTTAAAAGAACAAAATTGATTGAGGATTTGTTAAAAATGAAAATTTAACATTTTTTGAATGAACATGTCGTCAACGTTGTATTTAAATAACAATGGCATTTGTTACCTATTATTGTTATTATTTGTATATAACCGGCACATAAACAAATACTTTAAACTAAGAGTTCGTGGAAAACAATTTTAACTATGAATTTTATTTCATTTTTATTTTGGAATATTACTTTAATTTCTGATAATGTTGAATGCACGTCACTTAATACAGATCCTCGACTTCTCTGTGATGTCTCACTCTACCTCAAGACGTTATCATGTTCACACCGTGTCTAATGAAGAAGGCGTTAAGCTTAGCAGAAAAAAATCAATCGCTCTTTAACCTGTCAATCATGACAATACTGTGGTATCTTGTTAGTCGGCAGCCTAACATGATTAACAAAGGTATGTTTATGGCATGTATGACACTATTAGTTTCATACTATAATGATAAATAACGTATGCAATAATAGTGGTGACTAATGGACCTCAAAATGAAAATCACATTTCCATATCACGATAAAATATCTAGGTTGAATGTCCGTCATATTGGTTGAAATTCAGGTTACAGGACTGGAATGACAAAGAATGCTGAAAGGTGTACAACATAGAAATAAATAGACATACCTTAAACATATATATTGTTTATTGACAGTAAATTGACATATATAAACATAGCAGAGTTTGTCAACAACTAAGAACACGTTGATAACGTAGAGTTTCCGAATATGTTTAATATATTGTTTTTGTCCCGTTCATATGATTTCATGCTTTAATTACGATTTGGACGGCGATATCATCGTGAGGTTATCACATTTACAAAACCTGTCCAGATATACAATATTGCGTGTGTGATTGGAATCTTTACTGTGATATCGTAGTTACATGTAAACACAGGGTACTGTTTTCTATAGTTTTATTGTTTATAGGACAATATTATCCAAGTAACCTTCCACGGAAGTCAATCCAACAACTCGTTTTTTTTTTTTTGTTTTGTTTTTTTTTTGAAATTTTTTTTTGAAATTAGTAAAACTGACAGATCTGAAACTACATTCTGTTTCCAAGAGATATTTAAGATATTTAAGATGATTTTTATATTTGCATAATAAAACGACTGAAATAGATGAATTTGTCTTGTATCATATTTACTCCATATCAGCATTACATCACAGCTTAAATTTAATCTGATTGATGGGGACATCGGTCAAGATTAGAAGGTCAAAGGTCACTTTATTTGACAACTCCTGTAATTTTATCAACAATGATACTTACACGTACTTACACCAGACAGTTTCCTGTTAAAATGCTCTTTATACCGTTTCAAAGGTTAACATTTTCACCTTACATTAAGCTTATAGTAGGCTCTTTATACCGTTTCAAAGGTTAACGTTTTCACCTGACATTTTCCTTATAGAAGGCTCTTCATACCGTTTCAAAGGTTAACGTTTTCACGTGACATTTTCCTAATAGTAGGCTCTTTATACCGTTTCTGAAACCTAAACTAATCAAAGTCATTTTTATTCCTCTGAAATATCATGAAAAGTCTGTCTGTCTCTTTTCCCAAAAGCTCGTTGTACATCATTCGTTAACCATGGTTTGCAGCGGTGACGAACACATACTATCCTATAAATATTTAACATATAAACAAAACAAATTAATTTACATATGAAATTATTTCAATATTTCTATCACAAACACCAAAGAATATATCTATATGTGTGATATTAAAAGTAAGATTTATGCCAGCAATATCTGCTCTTTTATGACGCAGCTAAGTTCCTTTGTGTGTCTGTGGTTTACATATAAATATTTTATTTGTGACATATCATTTTTAATACTGATATTAAGGAGGTGACGTCATTGATCACGTGTCGATGATACCATGAGGAATATCTATCATCAAAATCGCCAACAATGATTACGTTTAGATGGTTTATTTGCTTTTTACAGGTACTGGTGTCGGGGGCTCGCTTCGCCATTTACATTTAGATGTATTGGTTGATCGGGTAATTCATCAAACCTTGGACTCCAATCTGTTAATAATGAACTAGACTGGTTGTAAGTCGTCGATTTATCAGTCTCGTTCCATTTCATGGTCAGACCAATATGTCCGGGAAGATTAGGAAAAACAGACCTTTCCTTAAATTTCCAAGCATGATAAATATGCCATATTGACCACAGGTTTTCAGTAGTTCCCTGTAAAATACTTTGTTTGTACCATTCGGTAGGAAGTATACCCGGAATTAAGGGTTGAAAGGCTGGTATCTTTGATATACGTTCATACCAATGAACGAATTTTATCCAATTTGTTTGACTCGGTGAATAACCTGCAGTACCAAGAACCGGGTACATAAAGACAACATTTTCATAAGGAGCTTGAAGTGGCCCGGATTTCCCGCCATGTTTTATACTATAACCTTGAAGTGCAAAACCATTGATATATGGTAATGTATCGTACTTCGCGTGAACATTTTTCAACCATTTGTAGAAATACGTCGACACAGTCAAGTCGTCTTCTAAGATAACGGCAATTTCCTTGCTTTCAGGCGAGGGAACCCAAGTCCTCATCCACTGACCAATATTTCCGGCGTGCATTGTCTGATTATACACATTAATAACACCATGTTTGAATTTGAATTGTTTTACTCTAACGAGTGTTTCTTCATGAATGATTCCGTTTTCAGACCGATCAATCCACACATCAATTCCTACTCTGTCACCTAAATAATCAGCCTCGTTTAATGAGTTCAACAACCTTGCAACAGAATTAGCACGATCATATGTAATTACGATCACGCGGAGGTCAAGGTCAAACGGTGTGCTCCATGGCAATTTATCGAATTTGACAGGTTTTTCGTATTTTATGTATGTTAAGCGTTCTTCCCTTTTTATCTCTCGAGATTCAGACATGGAAATCTTGTCGACACTTTGACGTTGTGTATCCTCTCCTATATGGGAACTCACATCTTTCAGTTTCTAAAAAAAGAACAAAACCATAACCAATATAGATTAGTACTGTAAAATCAGATAGTTTCGTGGAGCGCAATTTTCGTGGGTTTTTTTTTCGTGAAAAAATATTTCGTGGAGACTTCATTTCATTAATAGGATTTAGGGAGTTCGTGGACATATTAAATCGTTAAATAATAGTACCAACGAAATGAAAGAAAAAGATAAAAATAAACAATTATGCGTGGTAGGGTGGCGCAGTGGTATGGGGTCACCTCCCCGACCACGTGGGTTTTCCCCCAGTACTACGGTTTACTCCACACCAAGACTCCTGATGGACATGAAGTCCTCACACATCGTTTACGAGCTAAAGTCTGAAGGCTTTAAACTTTTTAAAGTGGTTATGCTAGTTCTCTATCATAAAATTCAACAGAAACGAAATAGAGATGACCACACTGAAGATTAAAAATAGTTCTAAATAAAAGCATTATCCGTAGATTCTTGTGTATAATAACAAGAAATTAACTATACATCAAGAAACTGGATCTCTTATTAAAATCTAAATTCACGATCTGATCCCCAGTCTATGCATAAAACACGTTTACTATCCTCTAAATATATTGAATATTAATCGCAACATTTGGAATATTACAACATTTTACTCTCTTTACCAGGACATTGGGAAAAAACAAAAACAAAACAAAAAAGACAATGAATCCAAAATTTTCGAATCAAACACCTGTCATGGAAAAAATAATTTCTTGTCATATTTATACAGCTACAAAATCTTAAATTTAGACAGAATGTAGGGAAAAGACTAGTAAGGGTGTTCAGGTC